CCCATGGTTCAGTGACAACCCACACGCAATCCATCCTCAGCCCTTGAGTGTGGGATAGCATGTTGTCAGCACACTTTCTGTGGCTGGGTTTGTATGACATGGCAGCCCATTGTGGGTTACTAGCCCTTGTAGGTTGCCATGCTGTGAATCTGGAGCACTTTCTGCAAGGTGGCATGTTTTGGGCAATCTGTGGTGTCTTCCAGGGTTTGTTGGACCCATGATGGGTTGACGTGCCATCTGAACCTGGCACACTGATCCCAGGATGCGTGCAGGGAAGTGATGAGCGAGGCTTTCACCTCCTCTGCTTCCAACAAATAAACAGCAGGTTGGCAGGTGCTGGGTGCAGGGATGGCACCCCGCTTCTGCTAATCCACCCCCCTCTATGGCCTTCCATGCATCCACCTGCATGGAATTCATTTTCTCTTCTGCTGACCAAATGCCTCGTTCACTAGAACTGCAGCAGTGAAGTTGCAGTCTTACAGTGTCAAAGTCAGAACTGGGTTTTCCTTGGCAGTTGCCTGAGCCTCTACACCCCCACCCCCCAACACCGGTATCTCCCCCCATCCCCAGGGGTTGCAAACTCACTCTCCACCTGCCAAGGAAGTGGGTTTTTTTCTGCCTTCATCCAGAGTGCCATTAAAGAAAAACAAAGACAAGTTCCAGCTCAGAGCCTTCCGTGGCATTGCTAGTTTGCTTGTTTTTCAAGGATCATTATTTGCACGAAAGCATCTGCAGAGGGCACCAGCCCCTCCTCCTCGCCTTGCTCCCTTTCCAGCTTATGCTGCCCCACTGGGCACTCTTCCACCCCTTCTGAGGCATTCTGGGAAGGCGGCTGTGCCCTGTGGGCCTCTCTTCTAGCCAGCCGTAGGCTGAGCTCCAAGGACAGTCCATGGCAGCCATGAGGAGCTTGTGGGAACTGGCAGCACCCGCTGTGGCTGCATTAGTCGGACCTCATGCGGAGCAGCACTTCTTGCCGTTGGCCGGCACCTTGCGAGGCGAGGAGAGAGGATACCTGGGGCTTCCCCCAGCGTTGTGAGCCAGCACAGGGCCGGGGGTGCCCCTCTTCTCCAGTGGGAAGGCTCAGGTAGCCAGTGACGATGGACACCCTGAGCATCTGCCTATCAGGGTAGACCAGCCTTCTCTGGCCTGGTGCCCACCAGATATTTTGGGCTGCAGTTTCCAACATTGCTGATTGCCCTTCTTTTGGGAGGGTCTTGGTGATCAGCTTCTGCTGCAAATCAAAGGGCATTCCCACCAGTTGGATGTTGTTAGAATGGGGTCCCCCATGGGATGTTTCTTGCACCCTTCTTTCAGACAACCAGGAAGTTGGCTCTTGAAGGAGCCCCAGGGACAGCTGCCAACCTGTGCACAGTTACTTGGCCCTTTATAACTCAGTGGGATGTGCGTGCACAGGACTGCATCATAAGAGTGCCATTTGGGGCAGAGTTAGTTTGCTTTGAAGGGTCACACTCTGGCTTTCTGTCCAATGATTCTCAAGGCAGCTGGCAAGAAACGGGCAGTAAAAATATTTTTAAAACCCAGATTCATAGCTAAACCTGACCCAGAAGCCCATAATCCTCCTGTCAAGAGGCACGGAGACTATCTAAGCAGGAAGGCTGAGTTCAGCTTTGGAGAAGCGCATGGGGGCCAGGAGGAACTCCTTCTCATGGAAGGGGCAGCTGAAGGCCACCAAAGGGGATGCAGTAAATATCAAGGGTGCGTGTGGAAATACAACAAATGAAGCAAAGCACCGACATCTTTTACTGTAGCACTCTTGCTGGCTGTGACTAAGCCTTGGGAGATGCATTCAGCCTTGGGAAAGAAGCCCACTCAAGAATCAGCAGTCTGAAAAAAGGAGGCATGGGCATCTGGGGAAGCTGAGGCATGCTCCATTTGGACCAGGTGCCCAAAATTCAGCACTTCTGTTCCAGCTGATGGTTGTGACCAGAACATGGTCTGGTTCGGTAGTCCCAGGGCTGCAACCGGTTGGGAATGCTGGCTTTTCTGCAGAGAGGGAACACACCCTGCCCTTTCTCCAGCCAATGGACGGAGCCAGGTTTGCATTTGCCGGGCTGTGATGGTCTTCCTGGGAGGCAGCGGTTGCAGCTGTCCAGTGGCCCTTGAACTCCTAACCAGTGGCAGAAGCCAGCGGGTGCTGCCCTGCGGTTCCAGGGTGATGTGCCCTTTGTTTAAATACTTCCGGGAAGCTTTCAAACAGAGCAAGAAGGCAAGTGCTCTCCTCTGTCACTTGTCTCCAGCATCTTGTACACAGAGGTACACTGCCTCTGAAAATGGAGGATCCATTTTAGTTCTCATCCTAAAATCCAGGACATTGTCGAGTTTGTCATAAACTAGTGGGCACTCTCACATCTTGCCGTGCTTCTAATGATCTCCTTTTAATTAATTAGGCTTTGTGCCATGGGTCATATCCCTTTGCTCATGTTGAACACATTTGAAGACTGCCTTTCTTTGTCCAAAGACTGTGCAGGAGGCAGAAAAAGCAATTCCCGCCTGGCCAGCCTGGTCCTGGTGTCACTTTTTTTGCACTAAAAGCCCCGAGCTAGTTATTTATTATTTATTATTCCAATTTGTATGCTGCTGCATTAGCCCACACTTGGGCCCTCTGAGCTAAAAGCCCTCTACTCACTTCCGTTTACTTTTGAGTAGCTAGGATTGCAGTGCTCGCTGCTCTTTATGCTAGGAAGAGACCACAAGCTTAATCAGAAACAATCCCGGCAAGGAAATGAGATGCTGGGCAGCAGCGGAAGCCGGTGTGGCTGCACAAAACGCTCAGCGATGATCTGAAAATCAAGGAAGTGCACAGAGGAGGCGGAAGGAGGGCAGGTCAGTATGACGGGACCAGGCAGAGAGCTCATCATTGCGGAGGGGCAGTCCTGTTGCCCCCGTGGCAGACAGGATGCGGCAGCGGCAATTTAGCACCGGGGAGAGGGAGGGAAGAGGCTGGGGCAGCAACTGGAACCAGCCCAGCTGCCCAGCTCCGGGCTCCTTCCCTCCCCACCCTGTGGCCTGCCCCTTGTTCCCCCCACTGAGGCCCAGCTGTGACCTCGGGAGAGGGTGGGCAGCTTCACCCTTCCTGCCACGAAGGCTGTGACGGGCCAGGTTTTGCAGTCCCGAGTGCTGAGCATGGGGCGCCACACTGCTTGGACTTTGAACCGTCTCAGGGCCATGTAGTTCCGTGATTCCCAACCTGGGGTACGTGTCCCCCCAGGGGTATGAACCAGCTGACATGAAGAATGAATAATGGCAGAAAATCCTTTTGAATTTCGAATGTAAATATATATGCACTCTGTTCACCTTATTATTCCATTGCCTGTTAATCCCGTTATTGGGCTATTGGCTTAGAGTTATAACAAATACATTTGAAATAGCAGCAACTATGTTAATTACAAATATTTTGCTTCTGTGAAGGGTTCAGTCTATGGAAAGGGGCTGCCAGGGGGTATTCAAATGGAAAAATGGGGGGAACCACTGCCCTAGATGATACGGGAGGCCCTATGGGCATTTTGTGCCCTAAATGAAATGAGGCTGGTGAGATATGCTTAGAACAAAAAGAAAGGGCTTCTTCAGATACGTTCACAGTAAAAGGAGGAGAAACGTAACGGTAGATTAGCTGCCCAGAGAAGCTGGCTCAGTGCTGGCAGATGACCAAGAGAAGGTGGAACTGCTTGGCTCATGCTCTGTGTTAGCAAGGGCAAATCAAAATGCAGCTGTTTAACTTGGTGGGGATACCAGACTCGAGAAGAGGATTTGTGAAAATGATCTTGGAGTTCTTGTGATGTTTGTAGCTTTGGAAATGTGACAGGAGTGTGAAAATGGCTACAAAAAAGACAGTGCGGCTTTAGGTGCCATCAAAACCAGTATGTTGTCCGATTCATAGGAAGTAATAGCTTCTCTCCTGTGCACTGGTCAAGCATTGCCCGGACACTGCAATTTTAAATGGTTTTGGATAAATTGGATCAAGTTCAGAGAAGGGTGACAAAGATAATCAGGGGACTAGAAACTAAGTCCCATGAAGAAACATTGGTAGAAGGGACCAGGCTGAGCGGGGATGATAGGACCTTTCACGGATCTAAAGGGTTGCCACATGCAAGAGGACACACAGCCTATTCTCTATCAGCCCAGACTGTCGGACGTGAAATATTTGGTGCAATTTGGAGGAAAGCAGATTTTGGTTGAACATCAGGAATAACTTGGTCAGAGCAGGTCAGAGCAGTCAGGCTGTAGAACCTACTGCATAAAGATGTGGTGAGCTTTTCATTGCTGGAAATATCCAAGAAGACGTCATGGAAGAGACAGATCCTCTTGGAGTACTTCAGACGAGGTTCCTCCACCAAGCAGGGGCCTAAATGACCCCTCCCAACTCTGTCATTCCGTGAAGTCCAGCCATCCTACGATATGCTGGCATTTTCCCTATATTCCTATATTTCCACACCCCCTTTGCCTTTGGCCCTGCCCACCACAGGAATGTGCCTCTGAGAGCTTCTCTGAAACGGAATTCGGCCCTTGGGCTGAAGAGGCTCCTCAGCCCTGCTCCAGAGCTTCAGCATGAGTGGAAGGAATAAACTGGGCAGGAGACGCTTTCCCCATTATGCACCCTCAGCTAGGAAACATTGAATTTCCGCCCAGCTGGCCAGTTAGGGCCTGGCCTTGCCCGGCCCTCCTGAGACTCATACCCTACCAGGTGGTTCTACCGCAGACCCACAGGCCTTGCCTGAGCTCCCTCTTGCCTCTGACACCCCGAAGAGGCTGAAGGAGTAGCGGCTGCCTGCTCATCTTCCTTCCTCTTCCCTTTGGGTGGTGGCGAAGAATGGGACCAGGTGGAAAATGAGAAGGGGTGCCTGATGGTGGCTGTAGGGCCTACTCAGGTGGCCAGCATGGCTTGGAAGGAGAGTGCAAAGGTGGCAGGCTGAGGTTACACCCAGAAAAGCAGCTTTGGTCACCTCTTTGGTGTATTTACTCCCCCTGCTTTTGTCTCCCAGTAACGTTGTGCCAGGGCGGCTGTGTGGAGGTGGACTCGGAAACTGAGGCTGTGGCCGGCGACCACTTCAAGATCCGGTGCATCTCATGTAAAAAGCGCAGCGAGACCGAGGCCACAGCCTTCACTGAGTGGTTCTTCAAGGAGAAGAACACCAAGGATTTTGTCAAGGTGTGCGGTATGGGGAAGGATGGACACCGTGGTTGTGAGGAGGAGGAAAGAACAGTGGCGCGCCCTCCCTTGGGAACCCAAGACCACAGTGGGTGGGAGGACGTGATGGAAAATCATCTGGGAAGAGCACCAGATTTCTCTCTGTTGGCCAGAAGCAGAATCTGATGGATCAAGTTGGTGGGGGGACCAGAAAAAGGGACTGAAGCCGCCTCTTGCCCACAGTGAGCGTGGATATGGGGCCGTTGACGCACAAACCTGGGGCCAGCCCTGTGGAGGAGTGACCATTCCTCCAGGCCACTCTTCCCTCCATGTCCCTCCAAGAAGAGGACACTGCTGCTAACGGACACTGTATATGTAATGACGGCCCTCAGTGCCTAATTGGAGGTGTTTCAGGCGCATGCATTTTGGCTGAGCACCCAATTTAATTAAAATGTCAGGAAAGTTAGAAATCTGAATAAAGAGTGTGCATTGGAAAACATTAAAAAGCAACAGTTGCTGCCGGAATGAACGGGATTTAGGACCCCCTCCTTATCTTCCAGCAGTACCATGTGTGAGCAATGGCATTCTGGCGGGTTTACCCTGGGCAGTGGGTTTGCCTTTGCCATGCAGGACTTACCTTGGTCAGCGAAGGGTTGGGGGCCACCCACTCTGCCCTTGTTGCAGTGGGCTGCTAAGCATCTCGACAGCCCCTTGGAAGGTGGTAAGGAGGTAAGAGGAGCTGTGCTGGGTCAGAGTCGGGGCCTCTCCAGGCCAGCGCTTGCTTCACACAGTGGCCACCTAACTGCCTGTGGGTAACTCCAGCACCCTCCTGCCCATGTTCCCCAGCAACTGGGGAGCATCCTGCCTCTGATCCTGGAGGCAGCATCGAGCTCTTAGGACCAGTAGCCGCGGAGAGTCTCCTCCTCCATGAATTTGCCCCATCCTCTTTTAAAGCCATCCAAATGGGTGGCCATCACTAGATCTTGTGGAAGTGAATTAATCATCGCTTAACTATGGGTTGCGTGTGAAAAAGAATTCTGTTTACCTGTCCTGAATTCTCCACCAATGTACTACAAGAAAGAACTTCTATGACCAATGTTATGTTTCTCCTTATCACCTTTTTTTCTAAGCGAAACAACCCAAGGTATTAGAACCCTTTCCTCATAGGGTAGTTGCTCCAACCCTTTGACCATTTTAGTTGCTCTTTTCCCTGCTCTGCAAGAAAACTCCAGAAGGTTTCCTGTGCCTCTGATGTAGTTTGGATGACACAATAACCCACCATGGTTTCCTGTCAAGTGTTGCTGGGTGGGTTGCTAAGTTGTGCAAACAGGGACCATCTCAGATGATTAAATTTGACAAAAGTTCTTAAAAAAACCTTAAAGCTTCTCATGGGCCTCTTACCTTTCCTCCAGATCCTCCGCTATGATTTCGAGGAGAAGCTCACTGTGATGGACGCTCGCTTTGAAGACCTGGTGGTATGGAATGGCACCAAGAATATTGAGGACCTGCAGGACCTTTCCATCTTCATTACTAACGTGAGCTATGAACATGCGGGCGACTACATCTGTAGCGTCAACCGCACGCTCCATTTTGACAATGAGTTCTATCACAACATCATGGTCAACAAGACCATCCACCTTGATGTGGTTGACAAAGGTAAGGGCAAGGTTGGAGCAAAGCGGATGGGGAGGAAAGACCTGAAAGACCTTGGAGGGCGGTGCTAGGGGGAATGTGGGCTGACTTTAGAGCCACGGCGACCTTAAAATTGAAGAAGATTCCTGCTGGATCATGCCAAAGGGCCATCTCCAAGCACTCTGTTTCCTGCGGGGGCCAACCACAACCACATGCCTCTGAGAACCCCACAGGTTTGCATCATTTGTGGAGCGATGCAAGTGTTAGAAGTTTGGTGAGCCTCCCAAGACTGTGGTAGTCAGACAGGATAAGAAAGCTTTAAATAAATGAACAAATAAAGTTGTTCAAGCAATTGATTAATCAACTAAATGTTTAGTTGATTAATCACTGGTGCTCACTTGCGCCTGATGGAGATGACAATTCAAGGCACACATTTATGTCTGGGAGTATTTTGGTTCTGGTATGTCAGTGTAACAGAAAATGAACAATAACGTATGAAAACTGGCCTTCTTTCTAAAAATGAAGCTTTTCTTTCTTAAAAAGGCATTGCTTGTATTGCACGTCTTTCCAGTTCCTCAAAAAGGCACAAAATAGGCAGCTAAATTCTATACATGTCTGCTCAAAAATAAGTCCCATTCATTTCAATGGGGTTTGGTCCCATGGAAGAGGGCATCAGTTTGCAGGCTTAGCTCAAAGAAGCTTGTTCTTGTTGCTCAGCACCTCTTACAGTGAAGACAGTAAGAGCTTTTGCAGAGCGGAGGAGCTTGGTGGGAGGCAACTTTGTCACGTGCCATCCGAGTGCACAATTTCCTCTCCAGGGCAGAGCTCCAATCAGTCAGCAAGCCAAAGAAGCAAAGCCGTGGACACTGCCAAATACGAGGGATGTCTCTGAGACGCCTCCTCTCCACACCTGGCTTGCAACTATTTGCAACTGTTTGTTTTAAGAACATTTCCAAACAAGCAAACCAAAAGGCAAAGGAGGAGCAGGTGCTTCGAAGAACGCCCAGCCAAGCACTCCTTTGGGAGGGAGAGACAAGGCACATGCCAAGACTAGCAGTTTGCCTCCTAGAATCTATGGCGTTGCTGGAGAAGAGTCTAACGCTGGGAGCAATAGATGGCAAAAGACGACGGCGGCGGATGAGGTGGCTGGATGGAGCCACTGAAGCAGTCGGTGTGAGCTTAGGTGGACTCCGGGGGATGGTGGAGGACAGGAAGGCCCGGAGGGATGTTGTCCATGGGGTTGCGATGGGTCGGAAATGACTTTGCGACTAACAACAACAAGGCTGTTCTTTGGAATGGGAGAGGCCGCAGCTCCCTGACAGAATGCATGCTTTCATGTGCCCAACTTCGGGCTTGCGGGAGCTACTTTGTTCTCCTGGAGTTTTTCTGGGGTTCCCCCAAACACTGATTGGTGCTTTCCTGGCTCTTTGGCAGTTTTCCCCCCATTCTCATGTTGCAATGCCACACAGAAGGCTTTGTTGTGGATATTAAGAGCTTTAAGCTAAAGCCTGTGGGCATTTTTGGTACCGCGCATTTTGCTTTCATCCCTGTTCATCATCTCGGAAATAGAATTTGGCCCTCTGGCTGGAAGAGGTTCCACGCCACTGATGGACAAAGATCCCTGGGTCTCAAGCTGGGAGGGTCTCAAACCCTGGAGAGATGCTCCTGCTTATAAATAGGTCACAGGTGGGGAATCCTTCCCCATCCCAGCAGAGGAAGCCTCCAGAGCCAAATAGGCTTTGGTAAGGGCAGAAGAAGGTGGGGGCCAGAGCCAAAGTGGGCAGGGGTTGCAGGGTGGCTTGGGGCACGTGTGGCCGGACTCTGCTTGTGGCCGTCAGGCTGCATGTTGCCCACTGCTAGCGTGGACAGGACCAGGTTGGACAGACTGGCGGCCAGTCTCTGTAACGTACAGTTCATCTCTAAGGAACAAGAAGTCTGCTGTTGCCTGTCAATTCATGAACTCCACCGCCGTGCCAAAGTTTGCAACCAGCCACTTCAAGCAATTTTTCTGACGGATGGATTTATAGCATTTATGTAATGCTCCATATTCTGGGGCAGTGAGTCAAATCAAAGTAAAACAGATAAAAGGAGCAGAACAGTCTGTTAAAGTACAATCAATATAAAACATGGCTGGTTAGTTCAGGAATGCTTCCTGAAATAGAGGTGCTTGCAGAAGGCACTGACAACTATAGCATGTTCCAGAGCGGGACAGTTCCAGAGCAATGCAGAAATGGAAACTTCTTGAAAAGTTTTGCACTGCTTATTGTTATGTCAGTGGGTGGAGGAGGAATGTGGGATGCTGTTAAAGTTGATTCTTGTGGTTTCTTTCCCAAACTTTTCAGGATAAAATTTCTTTGGAGCAGAGAGAGCAATGGCAATGCACATTTGTATCTTTTTGGACACTGCTTCTATTTTATTGTTGCCTTTGGTGGAATGCTCATTCATTCACTTAATATTGCTTCTACATAGTTTTTATATTAGTGGCAAGCTGCATGATGTGTATCCTGTGAACTGCTTGGGATATTAAGCAGTATAAAAGTAGTAAGAAGAAATAAATTTGAAATAACTTTTGCATAATAAGTGCCAAAGCGTTTACAACAGGAGTAGTTGAGGAGGCTTTGGGTACGGAAGCAATCTGACATTACTAATCCTGAAAGCACTATCAACAACCTGGTCATTCCTTCCAGGTCCTGCTGCTTTAAATGGGCATGTGCACCTCTTAGAAGCTCCTTCCAGAGCCCAGGGGCTCAAGGACTTTTTCAGATGCATGGATAACAAAACACCGTTATGGATCATTCGTGGCCTTCCTTTCCCCACACTTTCATCTTGGACAGCAGCCAGGCCATAGTCGGATGCTAGGTAGCAGTAGTTTTTTGCTAGGTAAATCTGGTGCGTTCCTAGCCAAAAACGGGCTCAAGCAAATGCACCTAGCAATGCAGGGACGTGTGTGTTTCTCATGTCTTCATCCACGCCTTCCTTTTCGCAGCCAACCGGGACATGGCGTCCATCGTCTCTGAGATCATGATGTACGTTCTCATTGTTGTCCTGACCATCTGGCTGGTGGCAGAGATGATCTACTGCTACAAAAAGATCGCTGCGGCAACAGAGGCAGCCGCTCAAGAGAATGCGTAAGATGCACGGGCTGGGTCTCGAGCGGGGTCACTGGAGGGGTACGCACTTGAGGGCCAAAGCCAGGAAAAGGAACCACAAAGAAGGGGGTCGGTGGTGGCTTCATGAAAAGCTTAGAAAAGGGATGAATAATAAGGGACATAAGAGATGCATTTCAAAATTATGCACGGTTTGGAGAAGATGGATAAGGAGGGAGACATTTTTCATAGTACTGGAACCCACTGGGATCATCCTGTGAAGAACATGGATGGGAAATTCAAGACAGGACATGTAGCAGACAGTTAAACTGTGGATTCACTTCCACAAGATGCTATGCTGACCACCGATTTTGATGGCTTTGAGAGGGATTTAGACATTCATGGAGGAGAAGGCTGCAACTGACCATCAGTCTGGGTGGTTCTGTGGTACCTCCAGTATCCAAAGTAGTACAGCTGCTTAGGACATTGGCTGGAAAATTTGGGCGGAGAATTCTCTGGCACTCAAGTAATTCCTGTGGGTTTCCTGTAGACAGTTGTGAACAGGATGCTGGGCTAGATAAACCCTTGGACTCTTCTTATGCACTATGCGAAAAGAATCATGTACGAATTTGCAAGACAAAAATGGTTCACTGAGCATGTGCAGATGAGCTCCGTCTGCAATTTGCATTTGAGGCACATGGGTTAAACACCTTTGTCTGCTGTTCTTACGTGCTGTCAAGTCGTTTGGGGACTCTTGAAGTACAGGTGGAAGGATCTTGGCAGATGCAAAATGGTTCCTGAGCCACTAGGTGGAAAAGCAAGTGTACAGGCAAGGCCCGCTCTAGGTTTAGAGGGGCACCCTCAGTAAAGGGTCCTATCTGGATCAGGAAGTGCTTCCTGACAGCCAGGACCCTGAGGGTGTGGAATGGGCTTCCACGAGAGGTCGTTGAGGCCCCATCGGTGAGGGTGTTCAAGGGTAGGCTGGACGTGCACATGGTGAGCACGTCGTGAGTGGAGCCGGCTGGTGCCGGAGGTCAGACTAGATGGTCTGGGAGGCCCCTTCTGACTCGCTCTGTTTCTATGTTGCTATCTTAGTCTCCCGTTTGGACCTCAGCTGCCTGGCAAGCTCACCTAGCAGCCTTGGTGAGTGCCCTGATGCTTGCAGTTTTCATTTCCCACGGTGCCACTGATGCATTCTTACACTGGGGCATTGTGGGGAATTAAAATGATCAGAGCTCCCAGGCCCAGACACTCAGTCAGTGCTCCTTGGAAACATTATTTTGAAGAGGAATCCAGTGGTCAGCCCTGCCGGAGCAGTGAGACCTTAGCGACTGCCTGGAGTGCCTTCTCCTGATCTTGGCCTGGTTGCAGGGCGAGGAGGTGGGAAAGCTGGGCAGAGCCAACACATGCCTTCTTTTGTCTGTGTCCATACAGCTCTGAGTACTTGGCCATCACGTCAGAAAGCAAGGAAAACTGTACAGGGGTGCAGGTGGCTGAATAGCCTGTGCAGGGCCGTCAGCGGGCACAGGGATTCCTGGTGGACAGGTATGGCTGTTGCTGATATTGTTGTCGTCACGATGACCCTCCCAATCCATGTGCACCATGCATTGCAGAGTGTCGCATAAGCCAAAGGGAAGCCTGCAACCCCAGCAGGTTCCTGTTAAGCATGTGCATGGGAAGCCAGGTAATCAAAAAGGGGGACACATGGTAGAGCCGAAAGAAGGGACAGAAGAGAGCAGACTTGCAGACTGTATTCTGGCATGCAAGTCTGTATTTTGGGGTTGTAATTGTTGGGAACCTGGCCGGGGAGCTTTTGCTCCCGGATGCTATAGAACTGAAATGCAATTGATGTTAGCAAATGCAGTTGCATATTTCTAAACTTTGTGTGTTTAGGGACATGAGTGGTTATGATCGTTTAAAGTTACACATCAATTCCCACGGCTTCCTTTTTGCATAGGATACCTGTAATCTCCTGAGTTCGGATTATGCTCTGTATCCTTGCCCCAGCAACACCAGGAGCAACCAGTGGAACCTCAGCACAACCTCCCTGTGTGTCTAATGCCACTCTCTGTCCTGTGCTTCATTCATTCACATATTTATATGCTGCCTATAACTGCCAAAGGGCTTCCTAGGTGGCTTACAAGTAACAATATATTAAAACCTGTTAAAACAGTTAAAAGACTAAAACTTCCATAATATATAAAATATAAAAAGACCACCAGCATTCACGAGGGTGAAGTATTATTTTTTTTAATGGTATGTCTTTGCCTGGCCCCATAAAGAAAATATAGCTGGCACCAGGTGAATTTCTCTAGGGAGGGAGTTCCAGGGATGGAGAGCAGCAGTAGAAAGTGTCTTCTGCTTTTTCCTTTGGTCCAGCTGCAGCCCAGATCTCCCGCTGCTTCTCCCAGTCTCCTGTCACTCCTCGCTTACTCAGAAAGCTGTGAGTGAGCAGGCAATAGAGAAACGGTTGCAAAATATGAACGTAACGTTGACTGTCGACAAGGATTTGTGCTAGGGAGAGGCCTCCGGTGCCGAGGGCAGAAGCTATGACTGGATCTGAAGCGCTTGCTTAAGTTACACTGCACAGATGCAATAGAGCTAATCTTAGATGGTATAGGATACATAGTGAGATTTGGCTTGTTGAGCAGAAAGATGCTAGGAGAACATAAAAGGCCTCTCTGGTGGGATTACCTAAGCATTGTCAACCATGCTTGCACAATTAGTAAGTATAGGGTATCACTAATGTCTGAGAGAAAAAGCACTTTCATTTTAATGCAAAATATGCTGACTGCTATTTCTGCTGTGCTTCATGCCAATTATCTTGCGCAGTGGTGTTTGCTTTCTTCAGCATTGCAAAATTCTCTAGCACTGTTTGAGCAATAAATATAGCCGTCATGGCACCCTTTGGCACTACCTGGCTGGAGGGGTGCTTCAAGGACCACCACCAAAAGACGGCAGTGATTCTCGAAGCCCAAAGCACATTGCCGGGCTCAAGAAGGCTGTTGCCAAGTGGGGTCTCTCCACAGTTTACTCTCTTGGTGAGGGGAGTTGCAGACACACCTGTCCAGGTAAGAGGAACAAGCCGCTTGGATGGAGTGCGGATGGTTCATCTCCCTCACAGAGGACCGTCGGCTTCCGGATTGGGAACCGCTCCTTCCCCGAGGCATGACCAGAGCCCCCTCCAGGCCAGGCAGAGCCAGCGGGTCTGTCCCAGGGCATCAGCGGCAACGCACTAATGGCGTGCTCATTAACATCGTTCCAGGGACGAGGATTTGGCGAGGAACGGAGGAGAGGGAGAGTGACTCAACAGCGGCGTCGGAGCCCCTGAGAAGAGCTGAGCGGGAGCCAAGCAGCCCTCCCCCACTGCACGGCCGTTCTCCTTAACAAAGCATGCTATTTTTGCTAACAGAGCTCTGTATCCGACCCCGCCGCCCAGGGACGGGCGCGCGCGTGTTTCTAAGGGAAAGGGGTGGCGGGTGCTCTCGCGGGCACCTTGCTCTTTGAGACACGTTTTTCACCTTCTGGTGAGTGAGGGTTGCCCCGCCGCAATGCATGACAGGAAAGCGGCATGGCTGCTCGCTCACGTACCGCAAAGCTTGGGGCCCTCCCCCGCGTGGCCCCGGGCCAGCCAGAGGCCTCTTTCCTTTATGGGTACTTGCACTCGCGCTTTCTGATTCTTTGCACATTTCTTGCGCTTCGAGTTCTTTCTGTTACTTCGCTACCAGCACTTTCTACGGGTCTGAGGAGAGGAGGCCCCTGCGGATGGAATTACCTGTCCCACCCTTCTCCCGACGTGTCTTTCATGGGGCCTTTCTACCTTGACCGCTACGCTCCCGGTGTGGCCACCACCCGCAGTGGATTGGAGGGGTCCTCAAGATGGCTGCCGCCTGCAGGTCCCGAGGCTTGGCCCACGGAAGGGTTCCTAAGATGGCGGACACCCATGTTCCAGTATAGGAATCCCCGAGATGTGTGGAATACCTGGGACTGGCATGACTGAACGGTGACGCTCCACGGAGCATTCCTGCAAGCATCAGCAATCTTATTTTCTGGCAGGATCTCCCCCAAGGCTGGAGGGTCTGTTCAGGACCTCGTGCAAAACGGAGCCGCCGCGGAACAGAAAGCGGACTGGAGGAAGGCCCTGGGTCTAGACGCTGCCCCTTGAGGTCCTGGAAGTGGGCTGCTGCCATGCCTGTCCCGAGTCCGCTTGAATTTGCTTCCCGTCTCGGCCTCCGCATCAGTGCAGGCACGCTCTTGCTGCAGGGCCTTCGTTCCTCGCCCAGCCTCACATTTCCCCTTCTTGATCCAGCACAACCGGTCAGGCCATTTTGGCTCTTTGGAGAATACTGTGCCCTCCCCTCTCCTCAGACCCCAGGGCCAGCCCTAGGGACTGGTGCCATCACAGTAGTATAGGGATTGTTCATAAATAAAAGACAATTGAATTTCACCCCTTTGGCTTGGCACGTGTCATTCCTGTGGGAAAGCGGGATGCGCCCGTGAGCAGGAGCTGCAGAGGGGTGATTGCACACAACGGCTATCCACAGGGAGAAGGGGGCTGTGCACCCCTTCCCCAACCTGGCACCTTGCTGTCATGCCAGGCTGCGACTCTAATGGGCCCCAAGGCAGCCGCGCCGACTGGGGCACCGGAGAGTTGAAGTCAAACACGTGGCGGGTGCCAGTTTGGGAAGGGCCAGAGCACAGGTTTTAGAAGCAAGAGAAGCAGTTGGAGCAGCAGCTGCTTATTTCACCCCACATTAATCCCTTGGCATACCGATTTTGCTTTGTGTGTCATTGCACAGCAATCCATTTTGTCCAGAACATTTTTTGTTTTAGCCATTGCCATATCCCTGCGAGAGAACCTTTGTGGCTGTACTGAGGTTTTATCCTGGGCTTCCCCGATCTAAATTCAGTCCTCTTGCTACTCTTTACTGCGAGTGTGCTAGATTGGGACTCGACCTAAAAGACTGGGCCTGCCCTTTGCTTGGCAGCTTGAGGCAGGAATACCAGTGGCTAAATTACAGGGTGTCCTACAGGTTCAAATGCCATAGTCTGGCCAACAGTTCAAGCCGACCAAAAGACCCTTGGCCCCCTGCTGCTAAAGCTGTAGATGTTGTCTGCACAACACCATGGTTTGTTTGGCCCGTGGTAAACCAGGAGGTGCATACACTTGGCATCCCTGCTTAAGGTAGTTGTGTCACGAGAACCTAGCAAAGGGGTTAAATGACCCCCACATAACCCATGGCTTGTTTTAGGGCTATGCGGGGGTTTAACCCATTCTTTCCAGGTTCGCATGACGGGGTAACTCGAGAGGAGTTTGCCTGTGGGTGCTGTGGTTCCGCACAGGGGCAAGTAGCCCACAAGTGCTACCAATCACACGCTGCTTCTGGAGGGGCAGCTGCTAGTGCTGTGCAGCAAAAGACATAGTGGAGAGATCTTGCCATTCTCCCCTTAAAGGATATGTTTGAGTAAGGAAATGGAAACTGGGCAGGATGGAAGGGTTACAGAGAGACTTTGGGACCCCATGCATAAATGAAGAACACTTGCACCTTGAAAAGGCCTTATTTGGAAGCGCCTGTAAAGAAAATACAGCTCCCAGGTAGAACTGATGCTTTGTTTGTTTACTTTATATCCAACCTTTTTTGTTTTGAAAGAACTCAAAGCAGCTTGCACCTTCTCCTGCTTATCCCTACAACAACAAACCTGCGAGGCAGGTGTCTGTGTCTGTGTCTGCTGACACAGGTGTCTGTGACTGGCCCAAGGTCAGCCGGTTGGCTCCTTGGCTGTGTGGGATTAGAACCCAGATCGCTTGAGTCCGAGTCCCGTGCTCTTAACCACTGCACCACTCTGCCTCACATGCAGAAAGGCCTACATAAAGTCCAGTTCAAAAAGACCTCTGTGAGCAGGGCAAAGAGAGCTGGTGTGGAGTTGGGGCTGGTGTGGGATGCAGTTTGCCTGTGGATGCAGGACTGGCTCCTCACTCAACCATGTAAGAGCACATAATCTCAGACTAGCCACCACATTTCAGCAGTCTAAGGAACTTCGTATGGTTGTTGTAAGAAGCTGAGCTCTCCCAGCAGAAAGCCTTGGCGTGTCACCCGACTGGCCCTTTTGGACCAGTGAGCTAGCCTGCTACAAGACACCTTTGCTGACTGTGCAAGGTGGATTTATTTTTAAATGTTATTCTATGGCATTTATTATACTTCATTTATGTATTGAAATTATTTGATTACTGTCTCAAATTTGTACCCCAGGCATCATCCAAGTTGCTTAGGCTGGCTTAATATCAGATTGCATTAATTGGTTCTAGCAACAGCCCTGTGGGGTCTTTATTGCCTTGAGTCTCACGCTTGAAGGTTTGGGCCTCATATGGCCTCAAGGTGGCATTGATGCTCCAGTGTTTTGTGCCATGTAGAATGCAACTTTCTGGCACCATCCCGTGGCAGATCAGCAAATTGCACCTGTGAATCATAGGAAAGTGGAGCTGCAAACAGCTTGCTTTAG